TCAAAATGTAATCCAACATATTGTTGCGTTTAGTTGTTAAAATGTAATTTTCGTGAAAGAATATTTTAAAAGTAAGTTTAATTTTTTTTATTTTTTACAGAATTTCTAGTATTTTGATATCTGATTACAAAAAAAATTATAACCTTTTAAAACAAGGGCACTTGTGACACTGGATATTTCAGTCAACAGCCTATTGAATTTTTAAAAATATTCTTAACAAAAATCAGGAACGAAAATTAGGTGTGATGCTTTATCCTTCAGCAGAATGTAATAGTCTGTGCTAGTAAAATCAATTTCTTTTAATAGAATTCTGTCAAAAGCAGGAAGTTCAGTAATGAATGTCTTCAACTGTTTAAAGGGAAGAAAACTTCCAGTAGAATTAAGATTAGTTTGTGACTTGCTTCAGCAACAACAAAAGATTGTTGCTTGACCTAATTACTACGAGCACATATGAAGTGAGATATGGAATGATAAGTATTTCACTAGAGAAAACACATGAAGGTAAGGGACACAGGTAAATAATTATCTGTCACGTATGTCCAGAAGTTCTAAAGGTACTTTTGTTTTTAAAAAACATGACTTTGTGTGGTGGCTTACGATTAAGATGCTGTACTTCCAACATTTTACTCCCTGTTGGAGACAAATGCAGAGGCAGCCAAGCAGAGCTGGGTGCATGCAGGATTCTGGTGCTCTCTATGAGGCTTGGGAGGTTTCTTAGCAAGAGCTGGGTGGTGCCTGTGTGCTGCAAACCCCACCTCTGCTCCAAACCATGCCCTGGTGTTGGTGGGACAGCTCAGTGGGAGGTGTGTGTAACCAAACAAATGCAGAAAGCACCCAGTGGAACTGTTGAGGAAGTTTGTGGACATATTATAGCTACATATGCTCCATGTTGTGTGGTAGGTCAGCAGGAATTGAGAGTCCTGGTTGACATTTGCTCACCTAATGTGTAAGAATATGAGATGTGCTGGTTTGTGCTGCCTGGACAGTGGAAGTGTCCACCATAACTGCTGTCCCTATCAGCTTGTCTTTATTTATGTTTAAAAGGAATTTCTTTAAAGATCCACCTTTTCCTTTCACTGATTACCAGTATATCCTTGGTATCAGGGTCTTCCAACTCCCAGTTGCTTCTCCTTCTCTCAGACTGAATTATAAAAATAGCAGGTATGCTGCAAAATGCGTTTCTGCCCTTTTATAATCCAGTAAATTGCCCTCTGGCTACAAAGTTGGAGTATATGGATTTAAGTTTGTAAGAGCAACTGAACAGTCATTTTCAATGTGTATAACATGAGGTGAAGAGAAACATTTAAAGTTTAGAGCAACCTTCAGTAGAGAAGAAAATTATTTGGTGACTCCTATTGTTGATCTTGGAATGTGTTTCAGATGTTAGGTGTGGACTTCATATCACCCTCGGGGCAGTTAATAACAACGAGCATTATCTGCTGAAGTCAGTGGAGTGTGAATCCAGAGGCGTTGTTGTCTTTGTCTTGTCACAAAAGAAATTCAAAATAATTGTGCAGAAAAAGGAGTGCAACAGAAGCATTCTGTGGTCTGATTCTCCAGTCATTCTGATCTTTACACCATCAGATTTGTGGCCAGGACAATTGTGAACTAAAGTTGTGCTCTCTGACTAGGACAAATACAATGCAAAAGATTTTAATTACATAGAAATTTCTTTCCAGTGAAGATACAATTAAAAGAAGAAGAAAACTTTTAGGCAAGTGGTAATCCTGGAATTTTTGTGTAACTAGACTTTCAACAACTGTGGTCTCTCTCTTCATGGAGATTGTATCATGCCATCTCTTCTGGCATTGTATCATGAAAAAAACCCAAAAGATTAGAAGAATGATGTATTTATTTCACGTGAAGAGTCAGTTGGCCCGATCTGATTCTCACCTCAGAAAAGAGGGGAACTCTTTCCAGTGCAACTTAAGGTTTCAGTACAACCTAAACTGTTAGATTATGAGTATTTGGGGACATCCCACATCAAGTTTTCTATTGATTCCTTAATCTGAATGGATATGCCCCACACAGCTGTCCCAATGGGCATGTTGGTGGATTTGAGAAGAGTCATATGCTCCTGACTGGGGCCAGGGTCTTGCTGTTCTTGCTGAGTTTCAGAGCAAACTCCTTCCCAAATGCAAACCCCAAACAAATGATGACTAAATGGTGTGAACTATGTTGTATCAGTCTGTTATCTACAGACCCTGCAGGACCTGGACAAATGAAAGTTTCACATGCCCCTCTCTGCTGTTGGCAGTACATTTGGTTCAGGCTTTCAGAGCCATTGAAACATGTTTGTCTACTCTCTGCTGGTGTTCTTAAGAGCCCACACAGGCCACAGGGAAGGGTCATCTCTGGTGGGAACAGTCCTGATGGGCAGATCAGCTGTACCTCCTCCTTGATACTTCCAGCTGAGCAAGGTGGAGCTCCCTGTGGGGCTGCCCATGATGGACAGCAGGCTGTGCTTTTCAAGTCTAGCCCAAAGTCAACAGGAAAGGAAGTCCTATGCAATGAAAAAGTTTAAGTCTTTTGTAATATACAGCAGTGTGATGATTATTGTTATTATTATTATGGACTCCGAATCAGACCCGTGTGAAATGAAGTTGTAGATGTTAAATGCAAAAATATCTGAGATGATGTTATGTCCATTTGATACAAAAGGGGTGGCAGGGTAACAAAAGAGGGAAAATGCAGGAGATTGATGTTTGTTTAATAGAAAAAGGCAGCATCTGCAGGGAAAAAATTATAATCCTAAGGTTTTTTTAAGACTATTACAAAGAATAGAGAATAAAAATAGGGAAAGCTGGAAAAAGCAATAAAATCTATAAACATTAATTCATAGCCTGTTTTTTTGAAGTATATGACATTTTTTTTCCACAAACCCACTAATAGGGTTCTAAATATGAGTGAGAATAGCAAATTGCTTTTTCCATCCCTGGGATCTATAGTTTCACCTCTACACTTGAATAAAAACATTAATGAAGAGGCAGATACTTATTTCTTTTGTTTATGCTCAGCCTCAGGAATTTTTCAGCTGAAATCAATAATTAAAGTGTTTATTAGCCATGGTAAGTGTTATAAATGAAACTTTGTGAAACACAGATTATGTTGGATAACTTAGGTATTTATGTCCCAATTTTTTAGCCAAGTAACAGAATTTGAGAGGAGAGACAATGTATAACTTCATATTTACTCTGTACATACTGTATTCACTGAGGAGATTCAAACAATTTGGTATCTTTTCATTTTCCTTACACAACAGAAAGCAGTGGTTGATTCTTAAGAAGAAACAGATTCACATGGGGTTTATTTCAAGTGTTAAAGAAAGCGTGGGGTTTAACGTAACAGTTTCTAAAAGATCACAGAATAAATGGTTTCAGAAAGTAGAACTCCTGATGCATCCAGAATACATCTCCAATTAATAAAAAACGCTTATAATACCTACCTGAGATGACATACGTAGTTTTATGTGTGCATATTGAGCAAGACAATTTGGGTGTATATTTGAAAAGAGAAAATGAGAGTTTGAGTACATGCTTTGAACAGAAGAGGGATCATGTGCCCATACACAGTACTCTGCTGTAGAGGCACAGAGGTTCAATAGACGCACACTTCTCTTCCTACTCTTCCCATGGCACTCTGGGCAGGAATAGTTTGATTGATAAGGAATGAAAACGTGGTTCATGATTGTTAGGCTCTTGGGATTGTGCCACTGAGTACAGTGAAGCAAGCCTAAAGGTTTTGGAAGCTGGAACAGCTTTTTTTAAATATCCACAGAAATATTAATCTGATGGGATGGCATTTTTTTTCAAATTTCCCTTAAGAATTCCATGATATGGGTTATTTTCCTCTTTCTGATTTCTCTGGGTGTCTGTAGCTCTGAAGTGGAGCTGCACATCCAGCTGGCAAGGTGCTGGCATGGGAGTGCCCCTGCTCCAGCAGCTGCTGCTGTCCTTTGCTTTCAGCAGCAGTTGCTTGGTGAGAGCCAGTCAAGCTCTGCTGGGCTTTTCCTCCCAGCCACAGAACCTAATCTGTGAAGCAAAATAGTTCAAAATGCTGTGTTGCCCAGTTGCTCTTCTCCTTACACCAGTGGTACTAGCTTGGAGTACTTCGTCCTCACAGGCATCTCTATTTTTCACTCCATAGCTTTTCTAGTAAAATGCCGTAGTTTAATGAACATGTGAAGTGCTTTTCTTTTCTGAATATCTCCTTGAGGAAACGTCTGCTGTGATACCACGAGAAGTCACTTACGCACAGGGGTAGCCAGGGTTCTGTGATAGCCAAAATCAAAGGTGGAGATTTTTGTTAAAACCTTTCAGATTATTTTGGAATCACTAAACTGTGAAATAGCTATTTTGTTAGCTTACAAGTTTTTCTGTATGTAACATTTATTCCTCTTCATCATTCCTTGTGTTTGCTTCTCATAGCTATTTGTTGCATCTTGCTTCAGATGAAAGTGCAGACTCTGAATAAGCCTCAAATCATCTTGCTCACTGACCTAGCACAGTGAAGGCAATGCAACATCCACATCACTGCAAATAGTAATCAGCCCCCTCAAAGAAGGCATAGATAAGCAACACCCTTCTCAGTGTGAACAGTCACCGGGCATAGGTGTGGTTCATACTGTTGTCCAGCATATATCTTTGGAATCGTACTCTGTCGACTGTGCTTTTAATATGCATTTCTTAGAATAAAGCTATTATCCTGTAAGCCAAATTAATGTGTCCACATTTTAAAAGGAAAGTATTTATTTGGATTTAAACACTCCGTTTTGTGTTTCCAAGAGTGGAGAAAATTGAGTCTAATAGGAAACCCATAATTATATATCTGGTGTAATAAACACAACAAATTTCTAAAGGCTATCCAGAAGTTGCTGCATAGCAACTCATTTATGTTCTCATTTATGGCACTGAGAGTACAAACAAAGTCCTTACAACCCCATGAGTGGGCTTCCTCTGAGTTGTGATCAGAGCTGGCCTCTTGTTTGTATTGATACTAATCTGTCAAAGTTTCTGACTGACAAGGGGCTTCTCCAAGTTTTGTGAGGGACTGGAGGACTGGAAGTCCACTGTACTCCTGCAGTCCCAGGCACTCTGTAGTTATGGAAGAACAAGGTTATGATTTTTGTGTGTTTGTCATTTAGTTGCCAAAACATTTATCCACAATGAAGAAAAAATATTCATACTGTATGGAGGCTATGAGATGAGTGTCATTTAAAATACTTATCTCCTCTTTTTTGTCTCAGCTGTAAAGAACAGGGTTAGGGCAGCAAAGGGAAGTGCAAGGCTGGTAGACTCAGCTGTATTTTCAGAATTCTGGATACATTGTATGCAGCCTGGCATACAAGCAAAAACAAACAGAGAAAAGCAGACACTCTAACTATAATTAATAATTCTCAGCTAAACGAAAAAAGCATGTCTACAAGATAGGAAGGATACTGAGCTCCTGCTCTGCCAGATGGAAAAAAAAGATGAGTTTTGAATCTGCCATGGCTTTCCACATTTGGCTTGAAAAGTGCAAAGCTGTGTGTGAAACAGCTAGTTTGCCTGTGCCTTCCCAAGCCAGAGTCTCTTTTGACCCCGCTCAAAAAGGAAATAATTTATTTAAATGAGAGTAAGCATATAGGACCTCAAAAATATGGTCAACCGCCCCTATGTGTTAGTCTAAGTATATAATAAATATCACAGGAACTCATTAGGAAAAAAAGTTTTAAGGGTTTTTATTTTCTGCCTTGGTACAAACCCTGAGTGAGAGAAGGTTAATCCTTAACATGGATGCCTAGTCTTGAGATACTATGGTAGGAAGTAGCTCCTTCCAGCCTAATTTAATCTAGATTAGCCCACAGGGACCTCTGTGCCCATAGAGCTGGACATTTCTCATCCAGCAAAACTCAGTAAAGGGGGAAGTGTTCCACACAGGGCACTGGTCAGGGCTGGGACTTTTCAGTACTACAGTAATACAAATAATCCATTATATTAGGAGGCTTTGAAAGAGGAATGTTTGACTGTATGGAGCAAGTAATGGTGTTTGATGTACCTCCAAGGTGGCAGTCAGTGGGTGAGCCTTGCAAAACTCAGCTGCTTCTCTCAGCAAGTTTCCGCCTTGTAAACAGTGCCTTTGTTTTCTGTCTATGTGGGCTCTGATGCCTTAGATTCCCTTTGATGTATGAATGAATCCGGTGCTTCACAACAAAACTCAAACTAGACCTGGAAAAGCACAGAGGGAGAGAAGAAAGAAGGGAAAGGGAAAAGGTAGTTTTAAATATCCACATTACTGAAGCTGATGAAATGATGTGTGTACTGACAGGATGATGGTGTATTTGCTCTTTGTGGCCATTTGGGGCAGTTGAGGCTTGTGGATGTACTTGAGGTTGCATGAGTGGTTTTCTGTTTGCTAGCACCTATGTGTATGTGAATAGTTCAGAGACTGAATTTGTTTACTCAAAGCACCTGTCAAATCACTTAATGCAGACACTAATTCAGGTGAAAAGAGTAACCTGGTCTTGGACAAACTGCGAGCAGACAAATGGGCCAAAAACCAGGCTGCTGTGGCTTGTGTATGGGAGAAACAACCTGTCCTCTCCTTATGGGGCAGAAAGATGCTTCTTTCTTTGCACCTGTTCATCCCATGGCTCTTGATCTCTAAGGGTCATTTAACTGACTGATTATTCCACATAGAAATGGAAAAGAGGGGATTTGCCCTGTCTTGCTATTGCATGTCTGTCTGTGTGAGGAAGATGAGGCTCTTCCCAATGTTCAGTCTGCCACACAGGACAGCATGCAGGACAAGCTGACCTTCTCCTTTACATCTCAGAGCTGTGAAACAGAGCCCAGCTACACTGGCCCTCAGTTTGTCTAATACAGTTGTGTACTATAAATGGATCAGCCAGTTGTGACTGGAACCACAATCCTCAAAAAACCTTTCGACAAATCTGGTTTGAGTTTCAAGTTGCAGTGAAATATGAAACGAGGTGGGTTTTATATGGTTTCAGGTTTTGTTGAAAACCTTTCAACCAGCTCTAGTCAGTAGCTGTTACTTTTTCAGTTCCCTCCTTCTAACGTGTCTGTGGTATTTCTACTTGAATGTACCTCAGATTAAGCGCAGTTAGGAGAAGGGGTGGGAATACAGCCCCTAAATTTGACTCAACTCAGAGGGAACTGAGAAAGAGTGAGGAGGATGCCCTTTCCTTATTAAATTCCTCTTTTGGTCTAGTGGAACTTTACCAAAACTTCATTTTTGTACGGAGATTTTTGGACTGCTTAGCTAGCTGTGATAATAGCACTATAGATCACCTCCTAACTGGCTGGGGCAAGTGGAAAAGGAGCCCTGCAGACTCTGTTTGGCAGGTGGACAGGAGACCTGGAGAAGCAGTCAGATTCCCAGCTGGCTCATGGCGCTCACAGCCGGGAAAGCAGTCTGCATGCTGCCTGCCACGGAGCTGGGAGGCGAGGAGGGGCTCGTCTTCCCAGCTGGCAAGGGGAGCACAGGCCTGGAGAAGTGGGCTGCTTTCCGTTTGGCTTCACAGGTTGAGCGAGAGGCCAAGAAATGAGGTTCAGTTCCCATTAGCCTGTCTGGTTCTTGATTTGCTTCCTTTAGTTAAAAGAGGCAGAGAATACTGATGATGTTTTGCCAGGCACAGGATTGAAGCTGAGTGGCATGGAAGAATAGAGACTTAAATAAGCACAGCTCGCTGTCTCCACTTGCTTTTGTCAGTCCGTGTAACAACCTTGCTGCCAGCAACCTTCCTTGCAAAACAGAGGAAAAACCCGGGGTCACTGGGAGGTGATTGTGCAGTTCTACGTGTGGTACTTAAGGTTGTTTTAAATTATTACAGAACCATTTATATTCGTAGAAACTCATTGTTAGCCTAAACAGTGTATTGATGGTTTAAATATTTAGGAAAAGATTAGTATTTACCGATTCCTTCCCAGGTATATTGGAAAATATATTTAATAGTTCATTTGTTACAAGGTTGTTTAAATACATCATGGGTATTTTATGTGCAGACAATTGAAGTTTCATCTCCTCTGAAAACATATTTTTAGTATATTAGTTCTTTTTAATATGCAATACTTAGGAGAAAGACAACAATAGATCTTCTGTTAATATGTGGCTAGCACCATTGTAAAACCTGATTTTTAATTTTTTCCCCTCATTGCCTTTAGTTATTCCTTTGGAATTTGTGGTCTGTTTTTTAAAAATCAGTCCTGATTTCTGTGCCAGTCTTCACTGGAGTTTGTAATAACATACTGTAATTTAGGCAGCTCTGTGAGGTCCCATGTGTAAAGTTATCTGTGTAGCGCCTGCATGATCAGAATCCAAGGCAGCCCCATTTTCACTGAGTGCAAGATATTAACATTTTAAAATTACTTCAGATCCACAATTCAGTAGAAGCCAGCGGAACCTGGACTTCAGGGCTCCCTGCACTGCGGGCAGTAGCACATCTGTTACCTCACTTGTAACATAGTGCTAATAGCCAGGGCTCTGGCAGCACATACTTCAGCTGAGAAGCACCCAAAGCCTTTGGAAGGTATGAGCAGCCTGGGCTGAAGTTTGAGCTGGTGCAGCTTCCCTTCTTGGTGTCTGAGTTGGCCAGTGAGTGTCATCCAGTACATTCACAGGTGCAGCTTTGCGTATGCATCTGGTCCAGTGTAGAGACAGCATGAGTTGCTTTGGAGTTTTTACTACAGATTTTGCACATAACATCTGTACCTGTGCATAGCCAGTGCTCTGTTTTTACTTGAATGCCCTCTATAGTCAGCATACTTTGAAACTTGTTTCCCACTCTCATCACATCACAGCCAAATCCAGAGCCATGAATTACCTCACAGATGTAGTGACTTAGTGGGGCATTCCCAGTCTATCAGCACATCTGGGGAACTGTGTGTAACTAAGGATGTCTCCAGGGTGCAACACAGGGTTCCATGGAAGTGTACTAGGGTACACAGGTAACTTTACACATGAGAGACTTTGCAGTTCAGGTACTGCAAGCAGTATGACCAGCTTTCTCTGGCAGTCCCTCTGGACTCATTATTTCATGTTATTACTGATCTGTGGGTCCTGAGTGGGCTACCAGGCCCTCATCTTGGGGGATGAGTCACTGGTGAGAAGCTGTGAATCTGTTCATCAAACCCCAGTGTCTTGAAGCAGTTTATCAAGGAAAGCTGCTCAGCCAGGTAGTACCTTCTGAGCTATGGAGGGGTATTGCATAGTGCCTCCAAACATAGCACTGTACTTGGCTAAGCAGAAACAACAGAAGGGTAATGTACTCATGACTAAGTTATGAGTAGAAGGCCCAGTAATGAGGGTAAGCTACACTCCAAAACAGGCACTCTCGAGCCTTCACTGACCCTCATCAGTGTGTTTTTATTGAAACACTCAACATCCATGAGGTACACAAGCAACCTGCACTTTGAAAGCACTTGAAAACCTTTTTTCAGGAAGTCAGCTCTAATGACATTAGAGGAGAGAAGAATGCATTACCCTGCGTTCACTCCACTGGGAACCAGTGTCCTTGCAACACAAACACAGAACAAGAGATTCCAGGGGAAGTTATTCACCAGGTTCACACCTTGTACCCCAAGCTGGACTCCCCCATTCCCTTGGGGAAAATGGGTTTGTAAAGCTCAGCACATTCTCAGTGCGCAGCTCACTCACATAAGGAGACATGTTCGGCCTGTCTTTACTGTTGCAAAATTCCACTTTTTCCATAATCACTTTTAATCATAGTACTTATAAGTTGCTTCATTTTACTTTTTTTAATAACAGTTGATTGCCATGTTATATAGGCAATAACCTACAAACTGGAATTGCTTTGCACTCATAAAAGCTTAAAATAGCAAGTCTAATTTGTTTATTAAAAAGTGATAAAAAAAAGACAATGCCCCATGCTGAGACTTCGTAAACCACCTTTCATTCTGTAGTACATCTTTATAGCTGTGTTATAAACCCCTCGTAAATGGGTTTTGTAGTAAAAGTGCTGACACAACTTTAACTATAGAATCTTGAGCAGCAGCAATGCAATAAAAGATCAAACTGTAATGCTAGAGTATAAAGAAAGAATCATGATATGCAAAAAAAAAAAAAAAAAGTTTGCAAGAGTAATGGAACCTGATACTAAGATACTAAATATGGACAAAAGAAATGATCTGCCAAAGTTTTAAACCAGCCCTTGGAACATTTATGATTTGAGTTTGGGGCTGTTGGTGTGTATTCATTGGGTCCAGAGAACCGCTAAAGCTCAGCTCACTCTAGTGGGTTTCTGTTGGCCCATTCTGGCATGAACAGCTGACTGTGCATGAACAACAGTGGGTTTGCACTGCACTGCACTAAGGAATAAGTAAACTGGTGACCTGAGAGAATTGTGCTTCTGGAAGGGGTCTTTAGTGAAACAAATCAGGTGTAAGATGTTCCTGCGGCAACACAAGCTGGTTGCTGTCCATCCGTGTTCTCGACAGCAGCTAAAACAGCATCCAAGTCAATAGCAGTTGTTTGTGTTCTGAGAGAATCCTTCTGGGGTACCATATGCCAAACAAATTTTTACTATTGCTTCTTCTTTGTTATATTAAAGGTCTGTGAATTAGTGAGATTCATGAGGAAAATTATGAGTTTAGCCAAAGAAAGTTACATAGCAACTGTGTATTGTAATGGAAATGGCTGAGGGGCACCTTTGGAAGCGTTCTGACTATGTCAAGTCACTTTGTTGTTGTTCAGCTTGGATGTACCTGTAACATAAGTTTACCTCACGCAACTGAAAATCAATTTGTTCTCTCAGTTCTAAGCTACATCTCAAATTAAGCCCTATAAAACATTTCAAATAGAACAAAGAAAGCTGGCTGAAATAATATTTCATCTTCTGAAATAAGGGTTTGTCAAAGCCAGTCGCATTACATGTGGCCAAGGAGAACACTGCTCATTTGAAAGGCTATTGAGAATCTGAGAGCTCATAAGTTCAAGTCCATCTGCTGCAGACTTCATGCACTACTAGCTATTACAGTAGCTTGACAATAATCTCGGCATCATCTTTTATTCCAGTCACAAAGGGCTGTCAAAAACCAAATAGTAAGAATTACTATAAACAGCAATGATTCAGTCTCAATGGCAATGGCTCTCTATATCCTAGCAATGTAATCTACTGCTCTACCCTTAAATTGGATATAGCATATGAAGTCCGTCAGCCATGCAGAAAGTGAAAATGTATATTGTCAAGGCCTTTGCTGTCTGCGAAACTGCTGATGAAGAGTCACAAAAGGAGTTTTAAATGCCCTAGAAGAAATTCCAAGTAACATTAAAGTCACAAATAGCAAATTTGACAACTCTCTCTGGACTAAGGAAGTGCCTTCAAAAGTTTTATATTAGCTTCATGCATCATTGTTATAATTTATTAATGTACAGTTTTTAGTTTTTCAGACTGCATGGCTGGGGAATAGTAACTGTAACTTCTTTTTCATGATAAACAGCTGTTGAAAGATTTGCCAATATTCCCTCCTCTTATAATTCAAAAATGCATGCATTGCTTTTCATATTTCTGTTTCCCCAAAAGCATAATAAGATACTATATTTATTATTTAATCGATGAAACCTGTTCTCTGTAGATATTACTACACTGTTTAGTTTGCTAGTGTGCATATTTGCACGTAATCTATTAAAAATCAGATATCATGGCTGCATTAGGGCATACACTGGGTGAAAGCCATCTTTAACACTTTGGCTTTTTCAGTATTCAGTAATTCTCTAGCAATTCCTATTCATCTTTGATTACAATCTCACAAGCTTGGAAGAAAGAAGCAAAACTGATAGGCAGTAAAAATACAGAATTTTGAAAAGGTCACCTCCTAGCAGGATTAAAACTTTGAATCCACCTGCTCATTATAAGGAATGTACCAAACATGAAATGGCATAACTGGAATCTGTTCTTCCAGCAGCAGTTGGTTTATATGACGACCAAATGCCATATACCACTCTAATGGCAGTCTGTGTGCAGAGAGATTTCTGCCCTGGCTGGGTATTGAATTTACCAACAGCTGATGCATGTGCTGTTCTAAGGAAGGACATTTTAGGTTGTCCAGCCTGTGTAGCTGCTGAAATTCACAATGCAGGTCTGTTCCTCCCTGCTATAAGTGTCTGTCTTGATGTTGTGCATCTGAGTTTCTCCATGGCACATATGGCACTGTCTGCAGTGCCTGTAGGTGTATAGTATGTGCTTGAACTTTTGTTCATCTCTGAGTAGCAAGATAACCAAAAGACCATGGCGTTTTTTCTATGAAATGTGTTTTAATTATAGGATCCTTAATTTAACCATACAACAAACTCGGTTCTGGAGATATTTGCCACGTTTCTTCAAAAGGAAAGTGTTTCTCAGTTAGAAGCCTGACTGAAGTACTTTAGATGTTCATTAAATGAAATTATCTTCTTAATATTTATTATTGTCAAATTTTTCATTTGATCTTAAGCAACTCTCAGGGTAGATTCAGGCAAGGGGAAAATCTACAATTTTCTATTAAATTCCAACCAGAGTATTGCAAAGGCGAGATAGTGCTTGTGTCAGACTATTCCCACTAAACTCAATGACAAATTCTTGATTTTTTTTCATCTTTTGTGTACCAGTTATTATGAACAATCTGGTTTTTGGTAATAGTTATTTGAAATCCTTATCTCTGTTCCTGAAATAGAGTACTGTAACTGGCAATAGTTGATCCATGGTACAGTGTGATTTAGTAACTGATACAGAAATGTAACACTTTTCTGCTTCCTTGCATCACTGCACATAACACTTTCTGCTTCCTCTTGTGTCTCCCTCAAGAATGGATTCCTGTTGTATTCTTGTATCCCCTTACTTGTGTAAGGAAATTCAGGAGACAGCCCTGAGGATTCTGCATTACAAACACTTGTTTGTATACAAGCTCACATTGCCCTTAAAAGTGGAATGAGATTTAACTGTATCACAGAAGTGCTAGAGAAGAGGGCTTCAAAAGATAATTGAAAGAGAAATGGAGTCACTGCATAAGGAAATATGTATTGGGATTGTCTGTAAAATATGGAGAGAGTGACAGATATTTTCCATTATTTATGGTCTTGTTTTTAAGTAGTTTTCATTTCATGACATCATTACAAAAAATGAAAGAATGGAACAACCTCCAGTTTTTAGACTTTGACACTAAGTCATTGTTCTGTAGAAGCAGTTAACTAATATTCCCATCCCCAGGCTGTTCCAGCACATATCATTACACTGATACTGGAGAACAAAGATAGAACTCATTTTGGCTTCTCTTCTACCATAAATGAAACCATTCTAAATGTTTCAAAATGTTTGCCCAGTACCTTGGATCAGCACAGTAACCACAGCTATCTTAACAATTACCCAGGGACAGATAAACTAATGACACAAGCAAATGTTTGCTGTGTAGACATTTAGGCAATGGTACAAGTAAGTTATGATAAAATAAAGTAATATTATATTTTGTTTTCATGGCACTGGCCTCAGGAATTGCTGTGCACCCTCCAACTCCATCCTCTATCTGCTCACTCACCCTGGTGCATCAGGCTCTACTCATCTGGAGTATACAGTCAAGACATACTAGCATTTCTAGTCAGAGTTCATGTTCTGTTTACACTGGCCCAGTTTTGAGGTAATCCCATTGATTTCACTGGACCAACAGTGATGTAAACTGATTGAATCTCCCAGAAGTGTAACTTCAGATCAGGCCTTGGCAATGTGGTAAAAAAAATCCTTTAGATCTATAGGATGTTGCATCTGCTACATGTCTGGGACCCAGCAGGTTTGAGATTTACTGAGAGATTAAAGTGAGTAAGTGGGAG